GGGGTAGAGACTTTTATTGGGAGGGGGAGGTAATAGACAGTGAATGAGAGACATAATGGGCTATGACACAAAATACCTGACGTTGAAAAGCTCAGTTTTAATAGGAGAGCATGTTTTGTACTGCTAATCAATGCACGCCTAACATGATAAATAGTGTTGGAGATTTTATATATCGAGAATTTTTCATGCTGTTCTTTGGTTCCTGCACCAGGATCTCCTTGTGGAAGGATGCCAAGTTTTGTTCTCATTTTGCTTTCTCACATAGTGGTAGTTAAGTGGAGAAGGAGGAGGAGTGTTGTTGTTCTTTACCATTGCTATAATTATAGTTATTATTATATTGGTGTTTGTTATTATTACATGTATTATTATTATTTATTTTTAAAAATTGTTATTATTATTATACTCATTATTATTAATATTAATATTATTATTTATTTTATTATGATCATTCTTTCTAGTATAGTTACTGCTACTTTTGTGGGTGGTTGGCAGGTGCTCTGGTGTGGTATGCTTTTTCTTTCCTATCAAACATCTATCGTCCTTATCTCCCCTCCTTCTTTTTTATATTTGTTACTTTCTTGTAACACCTCTAATCTTCTGGCACTCATATGACCTTATGCAATTGCGAGCACCGTAAAATCTCTACTAAAACTAAAAAACTGTTAGTTATTATCATACATATCGCTGTTATCATTCTTTTATCATTTTGTTTCAGATTGCATCTCGACCTCAGAAGATCCTATTTGAGTACATCCATTTGTCTCCCTTGAAGGTCAGTCTCAGAATTGTGTGTGTGTGAAATTTTTATCGAGTTTCTCTGTCTTTCTGCTGGGATGTTGTATCCCTCTCAGCCCGGGTTGGCCCTGACAGGCAGGTTCAGAAGCCCAGAAGCCCATCTCCCAAATGATCTAAATTGTGTCGATGGGGGCATAAAAACACCTACATTTTTACTTTATTTTACTTTTCCGATCCAGCTGCCATCTGGGTTGTAGCCGTTCGGCCTGTCGATATGGCAAAGAATTTACAGGTTTTTATCAGCTGTGTTTTGTCGTTGTATAAAGTATTTCCAATGTCTGGGGAGGCAGGTAGGTAGGTGCTACGCAGGTCGCTAAGTACAAAGTAAATAAACAGATTGTGTGATACTGTTTCATCCTGGCAGTCGCACAACGGGCAGTCAGGTGGGGTATCCTTGCGGATCCTATTTAGGTAGGACTTCAGTGGGATCTGTTGTCTTCACAGGCGAAAGATAGTGACTTGTTCTCTTCTACTCAGGGAGTTTAGTGCTTATTTTGAGTTGGGAGCAGTCATGTGTGCAAATGCATAGCTCATCTTATCAAATCTTGTCTTGTCTTGTCAAATATTATCTTAGTGGGTGGTTGGCGGGTGCTCTGGTGTGGTTTGCTTCTTCTCTCCTGTCAAATATCTATCGTCCTGATCTCTTATTCTTTTTTATGTTTGTTAATCTCTTGTAACACCTCTAATCTTCAGCACTTAAATGACCTTACTGTGTTGCAAGTGCCGTAAAACTCTTACTAAAACTAAAATTATCTTATCTTGTCATTTTTGGAGTTGGATATTCATTGTGTTATTTCTGTCCACAGCTCCACCTGAGTTTCTCGCTCTCGGGCAAAGCGTACATCGCTCCGAACAGTCAGAACGCGGTGCAGACGTCTTCGTCGGGTCTGAAGGGCGATATCGTCGACTTCTTCCTCAACTCTGTTGGCGTGACGCTCACAGAGATCAAGAATGTTGAGCTGAGGTAATAATAATATACAGTAATAATAGTAATAGTTGTAATGATAATGATTATATTAATAAAAATACTTGCATTTACATTGGGCGTACCCATGCTCTGCAGCATGCAACAAGCGCTTTACAATTATTATTACCCCAACAGACCTTATAACACTCAGAAACGTTCTCGACTGCCCATGAAGAGCTCTTCCTTTTTGTAGGAGCTTAAAAAGATGTTGTTGCTTCCCTATTTTTTCTTCTCTATCACTGGCCATGGGGGTGGATGGAGGATGTAACTAGCTGGTCATATTTCTTTTTTTTCCCTCTGTGGTTTCTGTCTGTCTTTCTGTCTGTCTGCCTTATTCTTTTTTAGCGCTAAATGACTGTTATTGTGCCAATGTGCTTCTTTTTTCTCAAAACACACTCAATCCTCAACTTACTCTTTTTTCGTGGGTGGTTGGCGGGTGTTCTGGTGTGGTTTGCTCCTTCTTTCCTATCAAACATCTATCGTCCTTATCTCCCCTTGTTCTTTTTTAAGTTTGTTACTCTCTTGTAACACCTCTAATCTTCTGGCGCTCATATGACCTTATGCAGTTGCGAGCGCCGTAAAACCTCTACTGAAACTAAACTCTTTTTTCCACCCACTCACCAAATCAATCCTTCGCCCACTCTTTGTACTCGTCCCTGATCCAACGACCACCCCTCCTCCCCCTCCAGAATGGCGTACTTCGAGCGTAAAGGAGCGCTGCTGTCGACCACTCAGCTCCTGGCCCAGGTTCAAACCCACTTCACCCACCAGGCCCTACAACAAGCCTACGTGCTCATTCTGGGCCTGGATGTGCTGGGAAATCCGTACGGCCTCGTCAAAGATTTCACGCAAGGACTCGGAGACTTTTTCTACGAACCCTTCCTGGTGAGTCGGGGCCTTTTGATATTTTGTCTGATCTTTAATGTTTCATTGAAGTGTTAATGCCCTTTTAGACTGAAATAGGTGATTTAAGTAGGATTTTCATTTGGAAGGGGGAGGGGTGGGGGATTGTAGGATGTTATTGCTTTTCAAGACTCAGATATGTCATTTAGACTTTTTTTGCTGTTATTTTGTGGAGTCTTCTGTATGAGTGTTAATGTTGGATTTGATATAGAGCCTAATAATTTTCTTCTTTATTTTATTACTACCTTGTTCCTGCATGAATGCTGTAGCTATAGGGAAGAAATATTATGCATTATTTTATGCATTTGAAAATTAAAATTTTGTGATTGTCCTTGAATATGAATATATATGAGGAGTCCACTGAAAAAACGGGCATAGTCACAAACCGAAAATCGTGAGGGTACCAATTTTTAATGCTTGTTGGCTTATAACTGTACTTCTGTTCAGCTGTTAGTTGATTATTGTTGTTAGATTTCCCATCCAACAAACATATAAAATAAACCACCAATCAAACAAACTTGAAGTTATGAGTTCACAAGCTTTTAAAATTGACACCCTCACAACTTCCAGTTTGTGACTATGCCCGTGTTTTCAATGGAGTCTTCATATATTAAATTACCTGTTTTTCCTTTTTTTTCACCACTTTGAATGATTGTAATTGTGTCGTTATGTCTTCCTTTACTTTAATGAACATGTCTGTCTTTCTGTCTGTCTCTCTGTCTGTCTTACTTTCTCCCCACACTACATGACCTTTATTGTGCTGATGTGCTTCTCTTTCCTGAAACAAACCAATTATATCTTTCACTCAGGGTTCAATTCAAGGTCGCGATGAGTTCACGGACAGCCTGAGGCGAGGTGTACAGAGCTTGATGGGAAACACGATTGGTGAGTTTAGTGTGTCTGTCATGTGAGTCTCGTTTCCGCAACAATGTACCTGAGCTGAACTCTTTTCCCTTACATAGAGCTTGTTGATGGGTCTTCTGATAAGGTCTCCAAATTATTTTCAACTGGACTTGAGCTGTCGTGGAGCAGGGTGATGGGTACTCTGATAATGTTTGCTCCTTCTCATTATTTTCAATTATGGACTCGACACTCCCACTTTATCTTTAGGAACACATAAGATTTCAATGTTGTATGTTATTCCATTCGCCAGTGAACTTTTTCATTGTGTCGTAATATGAGTTTTAGTTTCAGTGGCATTGTTCACAAAAAAACTTTTGGAAGCTTATTTTCGTCACGTCCTAATGACCAGCAATATTTCACATCATTTTCCTCCTCCATGCAGGTGGCGCTGCAGGTTCTGTAGCTCTCATGACGGGAGGAATTGGACGTACCCTGGCAGCTCTCTCCTTTGATGACGACTACAAAAGGGTGAGTGCTCTTGTCTTTGTATACCTTTTTTTAAAATAACTTGAGATTGTACCAGGCAAATGATTATTGGTGTCTGGGGTGTGATGATTTGGTTCTATGCAGTTGCGTGCTTCTTGAGATGCAGGTTTTATTCTCGAATGGGTAAGTTTTGCTCTGAGTATGTCCATATATCTGAAAGGATTTGGATGTTGCATTAAGGTTCAGCCTGGGCTGGCCCTGACAGACAGGATTACAGTAGCCAGCCTTCGAAATTATCTATATTGTGTGGATGGGGGTATAAAACACACAATAAAATAATAGCAATGCTGCTGTGTCAAGCACAAATAGATCAGTTCGAGGATGGAGCTCTTGGCCTATTGGAAACAAATCTTTTTCTTCTTTAAGTACCAGATCGAAATGGACATCAGTGATCATGGCTCACCACTCATGTTTCTGCTTGGATGCTCGTAGACAATATATAAAACATATTATCTTGATATTTTCTCATCATGAGTCTGTTCAAGTTCTCTGAGGAAGGTGTTCTTGGTCTATCTCTTCCTCTTTTTGTGGGTGGTTGGCGGGTGCTCTGGTGTGGTTTGCTCCTTCTTTCCTATGAAAAATCTATCATCTCTATCTCCCCTCCTTCTTTTTTGTGTTTGTTATTCTCTTGTAACACCTCTAATCTTTGGCACTCTATGACCTTATTGTGTTGCAAGTGCCGTAAAACTCTTACTAAAACTTTTTCTTTTTCCCGCAAATTCCCAGAAACGGAGAATCCGCATGCAGCAGGAACCTCAAGGTCTTCCGTCCAGTCTGGCCGCCGCCTCCAAGACGATGGTGATGGGCGTCGGCCTGGGTCTGTCGGGCGTGGTGCTCGACCCAATCAAAGGTAGGTCTGCAAAAGTGTGGGTTTTTTTCTCTACGTCAGTGATTTCATTAAACAGGCTAATCATTTAACACCTAGTCTTTAGTGTCAATTACATCTATTATGTGCTCAAAAATTAAATATTTTCTATGCTTTTGAGGCATGTGATGATGACTCTGAGAGTTTGAATTGGTCTCAACATTTTATAATTTAAATAAAAATTTGAAAAATATGAATGACCCCAAAGAGAGACATACTTCCATGTGAAGCACAATAGAACACACTCCCTCACCCTTTCTCCCCTTCTCCATCCCCCCCTACTTTTTCTTTTAACAAATGCTCTCCCTTTTCTCTTTTTCACCTCTGGTCCCCAACCTTCCACTCATTTTTGTTTCTCATTTTTCATGTTAACCCCCCCCCTTCCCCAATATAACCCTCACAATCTTTCTCTCTCTTCCTAACACCCCTCCCCATCACCTCCTCCCCCCCTC